TGGCAACAGGGGAAGGCTCTCTGAAACACTTTGGACTTCAAGGGCTTCTGAAACACCACCAGAAGGAGTCAGTCTGATCTCTATGGGGAGGCTGTTCCTCAGTGTCAGCCCCACTAGGTAAACCAGACTCCACAGGCTAAAACTATTTTTATTGTGACTGGCTAGAATAACAGAATCTTGCATGTCTAACTGTGCTGCACCTCCTCCTCCTTCTTATAGTTCAGTGAATTAGGGAAGTGTCTCCCTGAGTTACCTCTGAATGCTATCTTGTAGTTTGGGACTCAAAAAATGCTTCAGTCTCTTTTGCCTAGGTAATGGTTCCTACATATCTCTGTCAAGTCCTCTTCCTTACTCTATACACACAATGTCAGCACTGCTACAGAAAAGCAGCACGGCCTCACCTCAGCCCCCTGCACCTCTCCAAATTGATCAGGCCAATATTGACTGAAGTAGGCAGTCCTGAAGATACCTGGGGACCAAATCATATTGGTTGGGGGTGGGGTGGAGGCTGAGAGAAGCAAAGAGTTAAAGTCCACTTTCTCCTCCCCCCCCCCCCCCCCCCCCCCCCCCCCCCCCCCCCCCCCCCCCCCCCCCCCCCCCCCCCCCCCCCCCCCCCCCCCCCCCCCCCCCCCCCCCCCCCCCCAGTCCTAATGCAGTTTGGAATTGCTGTGCCTAAACATTTCTTCAAAAAGCCATTCATGCTCCTACCTGGCATACATTTGTGATGTTCTGACAAATAGACAAATACTTTAGACAAGTGAGACTTTGGAAATCTTACATCGAGCAACTTGTTTATTTATTGATTTGAAAATTGGTTGCCTTCAAATGAAAAACAAAAACCATGGGATTGTGTGGAAAAACAAATTAGTGAAGGAACAATGAGCGTAAAATATGAGATGCATATCAAGCATGAAACCACCTGAAGAAAGTATTGAATGTAAAAGTATTTTAAAAGCTGGAAGTGGGAAGATCTTTGCCCAGTCCTGAAAAGGTAGCTGGACAGGTACCAGAAAAACCTCAGTTGGTTACCATCACTGACAAGTCTTA